CAGCCAAGCATCCCTATCTTTTTTTTTTCTTAAGCAGAACACCATTTTTCAGAATTATATAAACTGAAGTCATTCTGAAATTAATGATAATTTCCATAAAAATAAAAGCCACCAAGTATCTGCTTTGGAAAAGGCTAGAGGAGCTGGGATGAAATTTGAGAAAGTGCAAAGCTTCTACTTTGGAATGAAGATTACCCTTTTGATGGCTGGGGGATGAGACAGACTAGAATGGGGTAAAATAAAGACCATTTCTTGGTTGCCTGATGTAAATCTAGGAAGGAGGTTTGATTTGTCCTAAATGGTGAAGAGCAGGCGATGTAATTTAATAGGGAACTTAACTGCACAGTGGGCCCAATTGTATTTAAAGTATAAATAAACTGATAGAAATCCATAGAAGCATACATTGTCATTATATTGCTTATATATTGAGTATATTGAAAGTAATTATTACATGAGCGCCTGAATGGCTCAGTCTGTTGTGCGTCTGACTCTTGATATTGGCTCAGGTCATGATCTCAGGGCTGTGAGATTGAGCCCTGCATCAGGCTCCATGCTTAGCAGGAAGGCTGCTTGAGATTCTCACTCCCTCTCTGCCCCCTCTTCCCCAACACCCCCCCTCCATGCTCAAACACATGTGTACGTGCTCTCTAAACAAATAAATAAAATATTTTTAAAAAAGTGATTATTACAACTATTAATTTCATTCCATGAAATTTACATTTCTATTAAAATGATAAAATAATTATTTTTAATTTGTGTTTTGCATGTATTTGTAAATTCCTTTATTTGTTTGCCTAAATCCTCTATGCAGCAGTTCTCAAAGTATGGCCCTCTGCCTGCTGCAGGGCCAACAAATCCTCCCAACAGGTTGCCCTTGACAATCCTAAAACTTTTTCTTAAGTGCCTGAATGAGATCAACTCATTAATAACTGTCTACGTATGTTTTGCTACATTTGGCATTTGGTATTTTTAAACTAAATTAGTGCTTTTTTAGACTTTAGAGAATTTAGGTATGGCTCCAATTCAGTATTTTACTAACACTGCAGGCTCCAGTTGCATGTGTGCATATGCAAGTAGTTGGATTCCTACAATTTGGGGGAAGGATACATATTAATTATCAGTACTGCCTTGAATAATCATGTTTTTTTAATTGCTGCTCTTCTTGCTTCTTAATAGCAAATTATTGTTAGTTTTGTTCATAATTATCAATTTAGTTTGTTGTGAGTTGTTTTTAACCCCATAGCATGTAGTAATGAATATTTATGAATTTTTAGGCTATAATTTTCCAAAATTACTCTGGTATGTATGCACTGTGTTCAAGTGTGAATCATCCATTCCTTTATTACTAAAGCAGATGTACACATATTTCCCCCATAATTTGCTAATATGAGAAATTTCATCAGTAATGTGTGTAGTGCATGGAGTTTTAGCATGCAATTTACAATAAAACATGAAAGTAAATCTAATATGAGCATTGGGTTTACATTTACGTCTTAAAAAGGGGAACATATGAGTAATGATTTAATCTTATTACATAAAAATAAGCACTACATATGTATATATATATTTTGGGGGCATCTTTTGAATAACTAGAGTAAGACAAAATTGTGAATCATTATTCAAGGTCAATAGTCTCCAAATTGTGTTTTACCAGATGTTAATAGGTGTTATGCAAATGTGGATTCTTTAGTCACATAAATTGGGAGAAAGTGATATCTATTATGTTTTATTATGTTTCCTTTTTCCAGATTTGCAAAGCCCTTTAGCATATTGTGATGGTGAATTTTATGTGTCAACTGGGATAGGCCTTGATGCCTAGATATTTGGTCGAACACTGGTCGGGGTGTTGCTGTGAAGGTAAGTTTTAGATGAGATTAACAGTTAAATCAGTGGACTTTGAGAAAAGCTCATTGTTCTCCCTAATGTGGGTGAGTCCATGCAATAAGCTGAAGACTTGAAGAGACAGAAATGCCTTTGAGGATGAGGGTATCCTGCCAGCATTTTGCTTTGGACTCAAGCTGTAACATTAACCCTTCTCTGGGTCTACAGCCTATGGCCTGCTCTGAAGATTGCCAGCTTCTACAGTTACATGAGCCAATTCCTTAAAATAAATCCCTTTATAGATACATATATGAATATGATAGATTTATATAGCTATGTGTATAAAGATACATCCTATGGGCTCTGTTTCTCTAGAAGACATGCTACACATGCTAAAGCCTTTAAAAAGTTCTACAATTCAAAAAAAAAATCCTCATTTAACCCACCGTTTTCCTGGTTTATTTAGCCACAAAACATTTTCACATAATACTTACAACTATCTCAAACAGAGCTTGGGCAAGGCTATTCCCAAGACTTGACCTCCCACAGACCTGATCTGTAGCCTTTGTCGGCAATATCAGACCCTAAACCTGTTCGATGCAGAAACTAATAGCATAACTCTCAGAACAAAAGGCTGGACATGGCTTTTGCTTCCACACCTGGCCCGGAGGGAGGGAAATAGCCACATTTTGTGGGCACAGGGAGGTGAAATATTCATTGTGGAACTGGTTCCACATAACGGTGACACTTGATGGAAATAACTACTGGTGGAATAGACCTCATAGCTGTGCTTTTGTAAAATGCTCTATTGTGGATATTTCTGGGGATTGGCGAGTCATACCAAAATATCATCAATTACAGGGCAATGTGGCATAAGGCAGGGCACGAATGGCAGGGAGCCCGACAAGAAAAGCCGGCTCTGCCTCCCTAAAAGGCATCACGCCTCCTCTGTCTCTTATTGTTCCTTCTTAAATGTGTTTTCATAACTGGTCCTCACTGACCCCAATTTATCCTTCAGATCTTATTCTAGAAGCCATTGCCTTTTCTGACTAATCCCTTACCCTGGATCCACCAACCAGCCTGCCCTCTTCCCTGTTATATGCATTCAAACACCGTGTCCCCCCGCATTGGACATAAACAGTGTTTATTAATGCCTGTCTTCCTTACAGGACTGTGAGGGCCAACAGGACAGGGGCCATTCCCATCTCGTTCATCTGGGCAGCCCTAGTGCCTAGTGGGAATGCTGCATGAAGGAACGCATGACCTGTGGAGGCCTTCCCAGGTGAGTCTATATAAATTATCCTTCCTTTGTAGCCCAATGGGTGTACTTTACTTTGATTTACCTCCAAAGATCTTCACTCTTTCAACCTTTAAAAAAATCTGTGCCAAGAGTCCATGAAAGGTTCACATGTATGTGTGCACACACATAATACAGACATGTGCACGCACGCACACGCATGCACATCTCTACATTCACTTACTCTTGCAAATAATAATACATTCATTTATCAAGCAAAGTAGTGTGGAAGTGATGGGGAATGCCAGGAACAGGCAGGAAGAATGAGAGACTGAATCCAATTACAGCTATATTATTTTCTGGGTCAAGCAGAATTGTGCAAAAGTCTTCAAACCTATAAAAAGAAGAGCAGAGACTCAGTCTGATTCCAGGGCCAGTTCCTCCCCTCCCCCCCACCCAGCTGCCATTTACCCCAGCCTAGTGCTGCTACGCAGCCTAGTGCTGCTACGCCATGTACACCGAACATGGGTATTTCTTCAAGAATTGTTATTGGAAACAAAAGCGTTGAGGAAGAAAAATTAATGCATTGGCAGATAAACAGGCTTTCATCTCCAGAAATCAGGCCGAGTATTTGGAGGGGACACATATTCAACGACTGAGAATGAGGGTGGCACGTGGTGGACGCCAGGCCTGGTTCCAAGGACTCCCTGTGTAGCCTCCACCATCCCCTCTAGACCGTCAGTTACTCACACGCAATATCCTTTTGCTGAGAGGGGTTGGAATGGCAAAGACCTTGGAGCTGACATAGACCCTCCCACCCCCTACTTCTTGCAACCCTACACCCAGAGACAGAAAACGTGTGCTATCCAAACAGTCTCATCTGAAGAGGTTGCCAATGTGGGCACCCCCAGGCAAGATGTGCGAGCAGGACTCGCCTGTGGTTCCCTCCCATTCACCCTAATTCCCGCGATGTCTAAAGAGAAGTCTCTAGATAAGGTTATAGGTACACCCAGCCCTGACATGGGAGGAGCTGAGACCTAGAAAAGCTAAGGTAGGTATTTAATAAATGCTGTAAACGCCTTTAGCCTTTCCAGTTAACTCCTCCAGCTGAAAGAAAAGCTCAAGCACGAGGAAGCAGTTATAAGGGAATCCCTCCCCAACCCACACATGTGCCTATTTACCCCAGCACCGGGAAAATCCACACAAGAAATTCTAAAATATGCCAAATAAATTTCACATTTTCAAAAATCTGGACTCCCTAATACAAAACTTGCTTTTTTGGTACAAGAAATAGATTTTGAATTACAGTAATCGCACACTTTTAAAACTATGGGGATTATTTTTTAATTGCCAGACAGAGCCAGGTCATGCTTATACTAGCATTGCATGCATGATCAGATCATTGATAACCCTTTAATTAGGATTAGGCCACTAGCTAAACTGAATTGAAATTCATTGCTGTAATCCAGTTACTGAAAGACCGGTTGATTAAAAAAAAAAAAGTCTCTCCCACTCTGTCCCACTGATGAAAACACATATTGAAGGATACCTTTCCAGATTCAGAGCCAAGAGGCAGATCACACTGCCTCTCACTGCACAGGGGCCACTGTGAATTGTTCTACACGTAGTACAATGAGATGGTCCACCTGGGGTCTGACGCATCCAATGCCATTTCTAAACAGTAGAAGGAGAAAGGTAGGGCCACTGGAAGCCATGAAAACCCAAGTTGCAAAACCATGCTTGGGCTTACTCATTACAAATGCGTTCTTTGGCTTCTCAGAGAAGCCACTTGAAGGTCACCTCCACTTAAAATTCTTGGCTCGGGAGCTCCTTGTTGCTTTATTACCCAAGTCTATTAAAATTCTTAGAGTAGCTGATGATGAAAATTCTAGCCAATTTTTTTTTTCATGAAGAGGAAGGAAAAAAAAAACCAACGCGTGAGTCTATTTGAAATCGTTTTATGAATTTTAATCATAGCAAATGTGTTTTAACAGTAGTCATAAAATCAACATTACCACATATACAAAGGACAAGACACCAGTTTGGCATACAAAAATACCATATATTAAAATTGGGTTCATTGGAAAAACTCAGGACTTGCTAAGACACCATCTACAACAGAGAGAGCAAGCAAGAATGCTTTTAAGACATTCAGATTTATAAACAGCAGCTTAATATCCCCCTTACAAAGTCAATTATTTGGCAACATTTGAACAATATTTTCTACACAGCCCAGCAGCTCATTTATCTGTAGGGCTATTTGGCCCTTTAAAAGAAAAGCTCCTAAAATAAATAATCCACATACTTGTAAATGAAACATGTCAAGGACTTGAGTTAGCCTCTAGAGCAGCATTAATCTAGCCATTTGACTGGAGTATTAGTTATCAAGAGGGCCGGGGAACCCACCAGTGGGCCTGGAAGAAATGGCGGGAACCCTGTTCACCAGCTGCATGGCTTGGGTTGGGGAGTTTGTACCCACCCCAAGCTGAAACCAGCCTCCCCACCTGCAACTGTCAAGTGAGGCAAACAGGAATAAAGAAAATAGAAGAAATGACAACAACCAGGATTGAAAAACGAAAATATTCTTGAATGAGTCTTCCAATACTATTGACCTACTCAGTTGGGAAACATCCACAGGCAGGGGCACTGCATTTCACTGGTAAGAGGGTGGTATTAGTTTGTAATGACTCAGCAACCAACTCTAAAGCGTCTAGTGTGCAGAGAACGCTGGGGGGCCTCCTTGCATTCTCTCATCAGCTGAACCCATTTCCCTATGTCTTCAACTGAAACATCTGGAATGGAATTTGGCAGGCTGTTCTAGAAGGACCAATTGTGCTTGTCTACATTACTCCTAGTCATCCATGACAGCTCTTTAGCTCCTATACATTTTGTCTCGACTTGTGATCCCATTGTAGATTTCTCTCCTTTTTGGCAAGTATCTTCTTACTGTCTTGGGCACTCTGCCTATCTATTTTGCTCTAGACCTGAGGCCACATCTCCACTGCTCCCAGACAGAATTTTTCTCTCCAGTTGTTTTCTGAAGCTCGGTGCATGGCAGCAGCTATTCTTGTCCTCCCACGATTTAAATACAGATGACATAGATTGAGGTTGCTATTTGCTCCCCCTTTAAGGGGGCATTTTTTTTCCCTCTTATCTCCTCCTTCCTACTGCCCATGCTCCTTTACCACCCTCACATTCAATTATCTACTTCCAGATTCTCAAAAAGCAAATGTCAAATTAAAAATTGAACATTCCTTGGAACTCCTGTTAGAATAACCCAGTAACTCACAGGGAGAATACAGAAAACTTGCACATGGGCTACCAGCCCTACATCCCATGGTGATGAATTTAGAGCAGTGTTCTAGAAGAACAGGATAACTATAAGAGAGCACCCCAGAAAAACAAAGAAAATGCATGCTGTTGCAGACTTCAAGAGACTCCTCTGTACTCTGCCCCAAATATTACTGATTGTCCCTAAAAAGATCATAATATGAATAGTATCAAAAATCTTAGACTAGAATAATAAAGTCCAGCTAACGAGATGAGGGTTTTCAAGCACCACTACATCATAAGTGAGATATACATAGTGGGATACCCCAGGCAGTGAATCCTGAAAAAAAATACAACAACCCATTGGCCCAACTGTGCAAGGAAACTTGTGCAGAAAAATTGGAGCCATGTTGCAAGAGTTCAGGAATAACGGTACTCTACCCATGATGCTTGAGCAGAGTCAAAAAACAAGCCATTTGGAAAATGGAAATTAAATGCCCCACTTACTTATGCTCTTCAATCATCAATGGCTTTCCAATAAAATGTACACAGTAGAACCCACCTTTTCATATGTTTGAAGTCTCAAGAGTTTATTTATATAGACTTTCCCAAAGGTGGTTGGTTTGATATAATGTATGCAACCTATAGCATTTGTTAAGAAATTAACATCTAAAGTCAACATTATATAACCCACAAATTGGAAAACATGACTAACAACATTTTTTACTTGATATTTAAACTCCTGTTACAGCTAAGTCGTGTGTGTATCTACATGTCTATACCTATGTGAAGATATAGATATAGATCTCTATACAGGGAATCATGTCAGAAAAAAAAAAATCAATGGCTTGAATTTCCACTTCTTTTTTAGAAGTATTTCATGCTTAATAAAATTTAACTGATCTTCATTGCCTTTGAGATAGATTACTATTTTCAACAGTTACTGAATTATCTGGATTACTTTGTTCTTTTTTGGAGTTTCTCTTTTGGTGAGGGTTACCTTGTAAGTGATGTTTTACTGGGAATGACGGAAATGGCAAGGAACAGTCTCTTCTTCCAGGTCAAGGATGACAGATCAACTGACTCGTGACACTTCTTATGTGGAAACAAAACACTGATTGATTGGCAGCATCATTCTTTTAAGAGAAGATAGAAATTCAAACCTTTTCGATAGTACTCCTCTCATACCAATAACCTCTGGACCTCTAAATTCCTCCTGAGTCCAAAGAAAAACTACCATTTTGGCAAAAAAAATATTAATAGTAATTTCAAAAGACAAGCTAAAAAGGTCATGCCCACCGACAAGTTCTAGAAAAAAAATTTACTCAATTGGGCTAAATTGAAATGAATGCAATGTTTACCTTATATTCAGAAGCAATGAAAAACAGACCAGCCAATTTTGACACAGCACAGGATTTCAGATAAAGCAATGGGAACTCTTCAAACCAAAATCTAGACTAGAATACACACCATACAGTCAGGAAGAGTCTCATCTTTCTATGAAAATATATCACAAACCAAGTCTTCTGCTTTCCTTTACTCACTTAAAAAGCAGTTTTAGTAACTTTAATAACCCTGAAGTCTTTAAATTCCATGGGCAATGTTTTTTAAGCCAAAAAAAAAAAAAAAAGCTTCTGTGCAAGGCTGCAAATTTCCAATTCGTTCAGTGATAAAGGGATAAAAGGAAAAACCAAACAAGACTAAAACAGTGTCAAATCTCACTCTAAAAACAGTACCTATGTTATAGTCTGGCATCTGAAAAAGGATGCCCACATATGCCCACACCAAACACAATGACAAGCCAGCAGACTTCAAGGGCAAACAAAAACCCTCTATGAGCACTGCAAAACATGCCTGCTTTTACATTTCACACCTTACTGATGCAGTGATGAAGTCTGGGGAAGATGCTGGAAGCAAAGAGGAATTTCATTAGGCGCTTTTTTTTTTCTTTTTTTCTGTAACATTTACTTTTTGGCCATAAGACCCTAGACACAGTTTCACAGTACAGGTCATGCATAGCTTGCAAGTCAAACGTTTTACAGCTACTGTCTAACTACTATTTTTGGACAACAGATTCACATGCAGCTAATGATCCCAGAAACGGGGCTTCAGAAAGCGCTCTTTAAGTTTCACTGACCATTCTTTGACCCAAAGTATGTAAGTAATAACCCCAAAGGGCAACAATGAATTTTTATTGTCACACTTGAGATCATATACTTTTTAAGCCCAGAAAGGATTTTTCAGCCAACTGCATGTAACTAAACCACAAACCGTCTTCTTAGCCTTATTCCATTAACACTGATGCTAGATTCCCCTGCACAACCCTCCAGAATCCCATGGTCCAATATGGTAGCCACTAGCCATGTGAGCGACTATGTTTAAGTAACTTAAAATACAAAATCCACCTCCTCAGTCGTACTAACCCTGCTTCAGCTGCCCACTAGCCAATGTGGCCAGTGGCTACTATATTGGACAGCATAGGTTATAGAACATTTCCATCATCCGAGAAAGGTCTACTGAACAGACTAGATCTCGAAGGCTGCACCAGCACATGGGTTAACCTTCAAGGGACCTACTCTGAAGTCATGCAGAAGATTAAACTTAATTATATTCTCAAAGAAAGTACCTTTTAGCTTTCTAATCATAAAGTATGACTGAAACTGAGAACCAATTTGCCTTTTCATCACAACTTATGCCCCAGGTCATTATATGAAAATTTCCCAAAGACAACGCTTTTCGATAGCATACTTGGCTCAACTTAACATATTGAGCATTCTCTTGTTTATGTCAAGATCATTAATAAAGATGAAAATTCATGCTTCTTAAAGTTAACTATTTACACAACACTCATTGTCCTTTACATAAGGGGGGGGGAACCAATGGTGTGCGATTTTAAAAATTCAAATCACATCATTTTTATTAAATGTCTCTACTCGTCTTTTAATCAACCCTCCTTTCATTTCCCAGAGAGGTAGTGCTAACTAAAAGGAATATGTATATATATTAAAAACAACAACAACAACAACAAAAACCCACACAACCTAAAGCAATAGTTGAGTCAGTAAAGGAGTAAAGGGTATGCATCCACCCTCCAAAGGCTCACAGTCCGACAGAGATGTCAACAGGCATAAGAAGGAGCAAGAGAAACTCTAATGCAGTTCTCATCTCCCTTTTGTTGCAGAATTTCAAGGGGCCACCTACCTCTGTGGGCCTCCACGGGCTCATGTACGAAACAAATCCACTGGGGATTGCTTTCAGCTCTGACTCTGTGCTTTCAGTTGTGATTTTTTTCACTCATGTGCAACTGTGAATTCCGGTTGATTGGGTCACTGGACTTTTGTCACACGGGGTAGATGAGTTGTTCATGTTGTGAGGAAATGCCAGAAGAGGCCAGAGCAAGGGGATGCCAGCTAACAGTGAAACAGCCAGTCGACAAAAATTCTATCTGTAGGCTGAGGTATGACACGCACAAACACACGCGCACTTACACGTGTGCACAACGGTGCACCGTAAGAGGCAATGTACAGGTAACTGGAGGCAGAATGCATTTAAACAATATTTCTTAGGTCAGTAAGACTCACACAGGAAATTCTGATCTTGGTATTATTGTTACCTTAAATTGAAAAGTCAAGAATCTATCACAGAGCCGATTAATTTTGCACTCTCACCTGCAGCTCTAGCATGGGATTGTTTTTAAGTTACGTGGACATTTTTACTCTACTGCTTTGCACTAAGAAACACGGGGCTCTACGGCCACACGCATTAGTGTCTACATCTAACCTACTTAACACACAGAACTCGAGGACATACTACACTACAGGGCCAGTCACTTCATACTGTACATAAACAGATGCAGATATCATTCACAAAATTAACTCAAATATGGCCTGGCTGGAAATTGCAAAGGGGAAAGTCTATTTGAAATGTAGCATTCTTAATGCAACATTTTGGTGATTTTTTTTTTTTTCCCTCCAAGAGGAATAGAAATGAGGTCAGACATGCATCACGGCAGCCTGGCAGATTTTGAGAAGTTGACACTAACCCAACAGTATATTATGTTACATAATAGAGGATAGTATTCAGCTAATATGATACCTAAATTATTAATACCAAATAAATCCTAGATTATTTGTTGTATAATGCCCAATAGCTTACACAATAAAATGGCATTTTAACCTAATTTCTACTTTGAGCTTTCAAATATACTTGCTTCATGAATTCCATAAAAGAAATTGGAGAACTGTAAAAGCTCACAGCTATTTCTGAATGCACACACATTCAGGCACAGGAATTTACCGCTTAACGCCAGCAGATCTTTCTTCATGAGCATCTGTAGGCCACTACACATTTAAGAATATTTGAGAATTTATGATGAACTGATCCATTTAAATTGGGAATGTGAGTTGTTGGTTTACCTTGTCACTTTTCTCAATAAAAACATTTTGAAATACAAGAGATCGTCTCACTTATACCAGCAAGAGGAAACTAGAATCCTAAACGGTTTAATTCTCACAGCGCGACATCTTTTGAAAAGTAATCATGGACTGTCTATTAAAATGTCAGTCCGGGTTTGTCATCGACGAACAACACTCATATCTACTACGACTCCTCCAAACCAGGACAAAAGACAGAGTCTTCTGTTACTTTCCATTTGTGCCTCACAGAACACAGGACTTGAATACACAGAAGAGGAGCAAATGTTGGAAGTGACGAGTGGGTGACACTTCACAGAGCGGGTCCCGGTGCCCAAGAGGTGGCCACTGTGTCAGACCCTGGACTCATTCGGGCCAACAAAGTCTTACTCCTGGGATTCTTCTGAAAAGATTCAAAACCTGAGGTAAATCAAATGACACACACTCACACACACACAAATACACAATATTTACATTTAAAATCCTTATCTCATGAGATGGCTTGAGAAAAATTGGCATATAGGGTTCCTGTAGGATTAGGTATTTCTCATGATTACTCAGTTTATTGCTCCCCCGTTGGGCTTTCAGTTTAATAAACACGTAGCGAGCTCTAATTACAAGGGAAGAAAAATGAAGGTGCGTAACAAAACACAACACACCGGGAACACTTGTTCAAACATTTTCTTCAAAAAAAAAATGACAGTCCACTTCACTTACTTTAATTTGGGTGCCATTCAAAAGGTATAAAAAGCCTTAGCAACTAAACGAGACTGGATTTCCATTAAAAAGGGGAAAGAAACCAGCACTGCATGTCGTCGCTGAATTTTTACATGGATTCTCAGGTTTAATTCTACTTGTATACATAGCATCTTTGTTTTAATCTACCACATTTAGAGAAGATCACATTGTATGCACTTGCACGGTTTAACGTCTAAGTAGAATACGTCTATCTCGTAACATGATTTTGAAAAATCAGAAATTACAGTCCATTTAGTAAATGATTATGAGGATGCATGCAATCGTCTTCGAAGCTGTTGCCACCAACACTCAGAATGATTTGCCTGGTATCCTGTGGAGACCTCACGTCTGCCCTCCGCTAATCAAGTGGCAGCCCCGAGGCCAGCGCTGGCACCAAATGATCAGCGTCGGCCCCCTCCTTCTCGCTGCGATCCCATCACCAACACCTGCTCAACCCCTAGTTGGCACCCACGAGAGACTTCGGCAGGCCCGCTCAGCCACAGGATATCACAGTGAAGCGCTTAGAAATGCAAGACATGTTGTGCAGCACGATGCCCAGGAGGAAGACCAGGACGCAGGCCACAAGGATCACAGTGCACACCCCGGACCAGGTGGAGCTTTTCGCCGCGCCCCGCCTGTCTGGCTCCTCCTCCACCGCCTCCTGGGGCGGCCCCCCCTGCAGGGGCTGCTGTTCCCCGGGGATCGTCACCACCGTGACGGGCTTCTGCTGGCTCCCGGGCAGCAGGCGGCAGCCCAGGTCTCCGGGCAGCAGCGCTCGCTCCTTGGCGATGGGCAGGGGCAGCATGTAGCACCCATTGCTGGGAAGTTTGATGAAGACCGGGGTGTGCTCGGACGCGTGCGGGATGGCGATGACCGCCAGGACCTCGGGGTCGTCGGGGAGCTGCGACACGGAGAAGCCTGGGGGCAGCTTGGTGATGCCCCGGCACCACGGGCATCTCACGTCCTTCTGGCTCGTCCTCATCTGCTGGAGGCACACCGAGCAGCAGGTGTGTTTGCAGTCCAGCAGCTTGGGCCTTCGCCGGGGGCTGTAGTAATTGAAACAGATCTGACATTCCAGCAAAGAATCTTGGGAGAGCGTCTCCATCGTGGCCCGGTGGCGGGGAGGCCAAGGCCAAGGCCAAGGCCAAGGCCGGGCGGAGGAGCTTGTTCTCAGAGGCCGGCAGGCCCACGCCCTCCTCCTTCTGGTCTTTCCACGGTGGCCGGGTGACCCGGGAGCTCACAGGCACAGAGCATACTCAAGTGTGTTCATTTCTGAAGAAGACAAAAAAAAAAAAAATGCGGAAAAGTTAATTATTTCCAACAAGCTCAGATGTCAGCACATCTGATGGGAGTAGTTCAAAAGTCCTGATGCTGGGTTAAAAATAAATAAATAAATAAATAAATAAATAAATAAATAAATAAATAAATAAAAGTTTCCCACTCGAGATTACAGGATTCCCGCAGGTAATGCCCAGTGGAAGGTAGACGGGTTGTCTCAGGTGGCTTCTTATGGTAAATACTTGGTTTGTTTCTAAAGGGAATGACTTCGTGGGGGTACATAATGCCCCACAGTTCATAAAGAGGGAGTCTTGATTCTGTTTTACGTATTTTGGTGGACCCTGGCTTGTTCTAAAATCCACTGGGGAAATTCTCAAGCTTCTAAGATGCTTTGTAAAAAAAAAAAAAAAATTTTTTTTTAAATGCTTTGTAGCATCTCCTAAAAGTAAATTTCTTTCCTTAGACCCTCTGGTCTTCTTTTCCTGACTCAACTTACCCTCCTGTAAGCATTCATTGCCAGATTCAGGCAACGTCCCAAACCTAGGGATTCATAACGAACTAGTTCGCCCATTCTATACGGGTTAGGACTATTCCTCTCTCTCATCGGAAATTAAAACGGTGCTGCCCAAAGGAGCACGCACAGGCATCTGTTATTTTTTTCCGATCAAATCACTGAAACAGTAATTCTTATCATCTGGTTTTAAGCGACAAAAACTGGAAACGACAGCCTCAAAAGGCAGCAACTACAATGAGCCTTCAGGCAGCGGGGGTCACAAAGGCACACGAGGACCATTAGTATTTTTTCAGTCCTTTTAATCTCATTAATATTTAGGCTTGCACCAGATAATGGGACCATAAGCAAATACTATTCACTCACTAATCCTAATCAAGTGCGGTATAGCAAAAGGCTGCCAGAGAAGACCGGCAGGCAGACCCCACCATAAAACAGTAAGAGCAAAAATAACATGAGCCTCCAGGTATTGAAAGGCAGCAGAGTAACTCAGATGACTTAACCCGGGTTTGAGGAACCCCCTGGTGCTCTACTGTTTCAAGGAAGGCCGCCCAACCAACCTTTCAATGGTTTCCTATTGAAAGCATCCAAATTTACTCTCTCTGGATGGAGTCACGATACTTTGGAGAGAACTACCCAACCACTATTGTAGAAAAAATTCCTAGTCATTGAATACCAACCCACTCCCAGAGCCAGGAGCTAACATGGAAAAGAAGCTCCAACACATTTCTCTTAAAAAGCAAACCACCTTCTTCTAACTTCCTTTGTGAAATTACGAATGTACTCCTCGCCAATGATATGATTTGTTAAAATCAAAATTAGAAATGCAGGGGGCGCCTGGGTGGCTCAGTTGGTTAAGCAACTGCCTTCAGCTCAGGCCATGACCCGGGGTCCTGGGATCAAGCCCCACAGTCGGGCTCCCTGCTTCTCCCTCGCCCTCTGCCCACCACCCTACCACCCCACCACCTATACCCACTGCTCGTGTTCTCTGTCAAATAAATAAAATCTTTTAAAAAATTAGAAATGCAGCAAAGTTTAAAGTAAAAAATAATCATTGGCAAAAATTAACAATGACAGTCCAAAAGAGAAACACGGTGTCAAATATTTTAGCTGTAGTAAAGGTGCCTAAATTATCGAAAGTCAAATATAGTAATACAGCATTCAGAAAGTTCGTATCATAATCGACTGCTTATCTCTCTACTAATTCAAGAAGTGTTTGTTGAATAAATGAAATTTGGTAAAGGTAGAACTCAAATGTTTTCACTGGAAAAAAAAACATATGAGGTGATGGACATGTTATCAGCTGGAGGGGGTCCTTTCACAATGTACACGTAGCAAATCACCACCATGCACGCCTCAAATAATTTACAATTTTGTCAACTATACCTCAGTAAAGCCGAAAAAAAGTAAAAAATTAAAGACATAAGTATCTGTGGGGCATCAATCAGGCACAAAGCACAATGCTAGCTACTATAGGGCATAAAGATGAATCAGATCCAAATGCTACTCTTAGGTAATTTAAGGCTAGGTAAAAAAGAAAACGTGAATAGATTTCTTCTTCCATTCATTTATTCATTCCAGTTCTTATTGGACATCTGCCATGTGTCAGGCATGATGGTATTTGCTTTTGTCTCTTGTAACTAAGACCTTGTCACTGCCTATTAAGAGACTCCCAGCCTAGCCATAACCAGTTATGCATGCTAACAGTCGTAATATAAATATAGAGTGATACATGCCATACAGGAAGGGAGGAATCGGGGATGGCTCCATGAAAAATCTGGATTATGGAGAGGATTTAGACATGTAAAATTAGGGGGCACTTTTCTTTAGGTTCAGAAATCACTGTGAGCAAAGGAGAGAGGGTGAGTCATTACAGAATTACTTCTAGACTCTACCTGTGGCACTGGCCAGAGGATTGTTTTTTTCGTAATAAGAGAGTAACTCAAAAAAGCCCACCCTTCAGTTTCATAGTTTTAGCTTTTATCTTTAGGTCTTTGAAACGGATTCATGTTTTTAATTATCTTTTTTAAAGTTTTTATTTTTAAGTAATCTCTACACCCAACGTGGGGCCCAAACTTACATCCCCAAGATCAAGAGTCGCATGCCCCACGGACTGAACCAGCCAGGCGCCCCCAGATGCCTGCAAGCACCCTTCCCCTGGCCCAGCCGGGGAACCCAGTCCTGCAGGGAAGGAGAGAGAGGAGTGTGGCCAGGCCCAGACCACACACAACATAGAGAGCTTCGAGTGCCAGGCCAAGAATATGGGACTTTTTTTTTTTTTAATATTTTATTTGTTTATTCATGAGAGACACACACACACACACAGAGAGAGGCAGAGACACAGGCAGAGGAAGAAGCAGGCTCTATGCAGGGAGCCCGATGTGGGACTCGATCCCAGGACCCCAGGATCACGCCCTGGGTTGATGGCAGGGCTAAACTGCTGAGCCACCAGGGCTGCTTGGATGTGGGACTTTGTAATGGGCAATGGGTAGACCCCAGAGAGGGCAAGAGTATGGGAATGAGCAGCGCCTGGGTTGTTTACCTTCGGCTCAGGTCATGATCCTGGGGTCCTGGGATGGAGCCCCGCATCCGGGTCCCTGCTCAGCAGAGTCTGGTTTTCCCTCTCCCTCTGCCCCTTCCCTGGCTCATGCTTTCCCTCTCTCCTTCTGTCCAATAAGTAAATAAAAATCTTTAAAAAAAAAAGATTATGAGAATGACTCATTAGTCATATTCAAGATAGATTGGAAAGACCTGCTGAAAAGCTATTATAATATTAGACAAGAGGTAGCGAGTCGTTGAAGGAAAGACTGGCAACTGGGATGAAGATGAGAAGAGGAGGAGGGTGGGTGGCATCCCTAGGAGAAATGGGGATCCCGAGAGAGTGCCCCTGTCTGGGCCTTACTCCAGTTGAGATGTGAGGAAGATCCACGAAATGAGTTCTTCAGGGAGACATGGAAGAGCTGGACAAAGGCTGCAAGCGTGGAGCTGATGCTGCAGAGCAGAGTCGGGCTTGGACCTGAGAGCCAGGCGACGGCCACGGAAGGCCCATCGGCCGGACGACACAGAACAGAGGGACGGCTTGGGGAGCACACCGCTAAGTCCCCCCGAAAGGAAGAGCTGTGGCAAGGGAAGCCACCCCCGTGTCCCCGCGCGGCCCCGGCAGCAGGAGGCCAAGCAGCGGGAGGGCACGGAGGGGGCCGTGGGGCTCCGGGGACAGGTGTCCCTCAGGGCAATTCGGGTGGAGTAGGGGGTGCGATGGAGTGTGCGGGGCCCAGGATGTGGGCACCCGAGTCCCCACGAGGCAGTGGGGGGGCCACGGGGCAGGAGAAGGGAGGCAGGAGCGTCCAGGTCCCCCCAGGCCCAGGGGGCATGTGGGGCTGGGAAGGGGGCCCATAGGCCCGCGGAACGGAAATTCCCCGTGTCTTGGCAGCCAAGATAGAATCTTCTAGAATGGGGATGCCCGGGGGTGTGTGTGTGCAGGGGGGGCTCAGAGGTTGAGCACCTGCCTTCAGCCCAGGGCATGATCCTGGAGACCCAGGATCAAGTCCCATGTCGGGCTCCCTGCATGGAGCCTGCTTCTCCCTCTGCCTGTGTCTCTGCCTCTCTCTCTCTGTGTGTGTCTCATGAACAAATAAATAAAATCTTTAAAAAAACAAACAAAAAAAAGAAGCCCCTGGACAGAGTACCAGGGAACCCAGGGAGATGAGGGTGCGGCCGGGCGGGAGGGGGGCTCTGAGCTCTGGTGGTGGAAAGGATGAGATGGGGGATGGGTATGAGAAAAAGCACAGAGCCCTGCAACCCCTTCCTGAATTTGGAGACCACTTTCCTTCACAATGGCCCTCAGGACCACTACCTCCGAAGATATATGGAGCCGGGACATGTTTCCTGACCCCAGTACCGAAACAATGACCACCGATTTATTAACCTTCCTTCCTCCCTTATTATTTATCTTCTTTCCATATAAAAATGTGGGTAGCAGATTAGCAGAGTGGGAAGAGCAGGGACTTTGGCCTCCAAGAACCTTGGCTCAAAACCTTGCTCTATCACTACCAGCTGTGACCCTAGAACAGGTCATCCAGCCTCTGGAAGCCTGTGGATCACCAGCCAATGGGGCAAAATGGAAGTGTAGCTGAAGTCCGGTAAAGGGTGCAAGGAGCACAGGTTCTCTCTCTCTCCCTCCCTCCTGACTCCGCCTCCTCCCCGTGTGCCACCTGCCCAGAGAGCTCTTCCTGGCTCTCAAAGAACTGCCATGTTGAACAGCTTGGGAGGAAGAATGCAAGTGTTCTCCTTGGCCCTGCCCCAAGACTTGCCATGCCATCATTTTTCAACAAAACCAACATCCAATTTTATTCATGAATTTATGTTCCAAGTAATGTTCACTTAATTGGTGTTAAGCTCCCTTAAAACTACATTACAGTACTCAATTTCCAACTCTATCCAAGTAAGTCTAGGCCCTACAGTAGAGGCTGAACACAAATGCCAG